GCGTCTCGTTTTAGGATGTTCTATGCATAGATAAAAGGATACCAGTGAGAGTTTAATACTGAATGTTGAAAAACTGGAAAGGATAGAAGAAGCCACAAAAACTATTTGAGGATGGGAGAAAATACTTTATAGAGAGAGACTTAATGAGCTCAATCTTACTATCAAAGAAGATTGAAAGGTTAGTTGATTACAGTGTATAATATATCATGGGGAGGAAATACCAGGGAATAAAAAGTCTTGACTCTAGGGGAAATGGGCAGAATGAAACCCAATGGCTGGAAACTGAAACCAGACAAATCTAAATTAGAAATGGAATGCACACTTTTTAACATCAAAGATGATTAATCTCTGGAACTAACTACCAAGGGATGTGGTCAATTTTCAACCTTTCAATATCTTCAGATCAAGACTTAATGCCTTAAACCTTTACAGAAGCACAAGTTATGGGGCTCAATTGTGGGGTAAAAAATGAAATTCAAATGGATTGTGATATATGCAATATGTCAATGTAACTTTGACAGACCTAGCCAGCTGCTGCTCACCCCCCTGGTATACCCAAGGTACACTGAGGACATCATCACATGGACACATGAGAAGGAAGAGAAATTCCACCAGCATGTCTACAGCTTCCACCCCTCCATCAGACTACATTATAGAATACTCCGCCCGCATATTCATTTATCGGATACCACTGTGAAAGTTTGTAGGCCTTAAGACGGACTAAGAACAGTTAAAATCTGGAAGTCAAGTTCTGTGGAAAGCACAGGAGTGCACCAAAGCATTTGGAATCGTGTCAAGAACCCTGTGATGCAAGGATCAGTACAATCTTCCATACTAGATAAGAAAAATACGTAGGATAGTATAATCAAACCTGGTACATACCTGGGAAGATATGTAAGAATGCTGTAATTAAGTTCATTAATCAACACATTGTTAGGTGCATGGCACCAAATGTAACTGATCATATGTGGCTAATGATAAGGGCTTAAAAGTAAGTGCTTCTAATGGATAAAAAATAAAAATGCATTTTGGATCTGTGTTTAACCCTGCACTATCTCTGCTGTCAGCCAGTCTGATCACCTGGCTGATAGTATGAATAAAGGCTACACTAAGTTTATACTCACTAAATAACTGTGCCATGTGCTTATTTGAACTGTGCTGCAGTAGGACTTAACAGGACCATGGTGACAGCAACACTTATCATTATCACATTGTATTGGAAACCAACCAATCGCTAGAACTACCTCCACGTCAACAACTCATATCCTAAGCACACTATCATCTACAGCCAAACTATGCTACAACCGTATCTGCTCTGATCCTACTGACCAAGATGTACACCTTAAGAACATGGAGCAGAGATTCCTAGACTTACAATACAATCCTAAAACCACAGTCACTCAAAGGAACAGTCAGACTCAGACTCTGCTTCGACCTGCTTACAATAGCAACTCCAAGATGAGGACAGATTTCACTTTTCCCCTTCATGTCTATTTAGGCCCCTGAACATTTGGCATGCCCAACAAAACACTGTGAATTCCAGAATTTTGTCACAAAAATGGCCATCTGGCTGAATGCAAGGCCTCAGACATTTGGTTTTCTGTCTCCCTGCCTTGTTGGGACCATCCTGCAACTACCCCTTGTTCTCCAACTTTCCTCATAAGAAGGAATGGAGAGTGGATCACAGTTCACATTCTCTGTACTGATCCTTGGAGTCAGGAAGCATGTGGTCAGAAAGCTGGAGCTGGGAGTCCAGCTTGCAGCCAGGAAATGGGGGAAACCAGAACTAAGGGACATTGAGGTGGGCTAACTAGAGAACAATGCAGCAACAGAGCATTAGGGTAATGAGTCACTGAAGCCAGCTATGTTTCCTTCTTCCCTGGCACATGTAAGGCGTGGGAAGGAGGTTATGTGAGCCAGGCCACCTGGAGAGCACAGTGAAGAAATCCATCCTTGAAAATAAACACCAGTGAACTTTACATCCATAACTGTTTTCATCTGCAAGCCACAGTTGTGGGTGTTTGCATAGGGCCTTAAAGACAGGAATGAAAAATATTTCACAGTGCCACAGACTTCAGGAGCTGTTGACGAGGTGCAGGCAAGACACTGCTTTTAAAGTGTTTAGACACTGGTAGATTTCTACAGTCAATGCTATACATCAAGAAAAGACTTTAAATACAAAGGAA